GAAATTTTGAGTCCACAAATTTTTCATTTTTGTTTTAGTTTTTACAGCACTAGTGGCTAATTTTTTGACAGTAGGCTGACAAGAAAGGGGGTATGAGAGAGGGGGAGATATGTGTGGCATAGGAACACAGGCCAGAGTCAAACCTGCGTTGGTGGCGTCAAGGACTAAGGCCTCTGTACGTGGGTTGTGCTCTCTAACCACTGCGCCACCTGCACGGCGCAAGTGCGCTCATTTTTGTGTCATAACCACTACGGTGCTCCATGGAGGAGTTAGAGCGGATGTTCGGACACAGCCTATGACTTCCTGTCTCAAAGCTGCCGGCGGTGCACATGGCGTCCCATCCGTAGGACTGCGGGAAATTCAGCCCTGAATAGCAGCGTATTGTTGCAATGGAGGGAGGTGTGGGTGGGCTTCTTGTTTCTGGTTGCTAACGCTCCATCGACCATTAGCATTAAAAAAACTAGACATGCATGTGTACTCCTTTAAAATTCCTGCCTCTTGTTCCTTTAAGTGATACAAGCTGTGTGGAAATCAGGTCATTCTTTCACCAAATTTCATTAAAAAATTAGATTTAAAACTAACCAGCTTAACAGAGAGACAGACAGGAACAGGGGGTTTCTGAATAAAATGAATTTTAACTTCTCCTGCTATTTCAAACTGATTTCTGATCAGAATAAGTGTGTTAATGCGCAGCAAGCTGTATCAGATGCTTTACATTGTTTTTACTGTTTCTCATTCATTCTGAAGATACAGAGGTGCTTGTTTTACCGCCATGAGTTACACGTAGGAAACCCTGAAAGGCGTGAATTAATGAGCAAACAGAGAAACATCCACAAATACAACAGTTCATGAGCAGCTCTGTCCTTCCAGTCATCTTGGATTTACATTTTCCTTCATGGCCAAGAGCCTTCACCAGAATAGAATAGAACAAAACACAATAGAATAGAATAGAGCAAAACACAATAGAATAGAGCAGAATAGAATAGAATAGAATAGAGCAAAATACAATAGAATAGAATAGAGCAAAATAGAATAGAATAGAATAGAATAGAGCAAAATAGAATAGAATAGAATAGAGCAAAATAGAATAGAATAGAATAGAGCAAAATACAATAGAATAGAGCAGAATAGAATAGAATAGAGCAAAACAGAATAGAAT